TGTGAGGCGTTGGCTGGAATAAATGGGCCCAATTTTGGGTCTTGTTTTAGGATGTGCCAATTTTTTCAAATGATTCGCTGTATATTGTTATGACTGTTGTTGAAAGTGGTTATGAAGCTAACTTCAGCCTTAGGTTCGGGGCGTGTGTCATTAACTGAAGGAAGTGAGTGTGAATAAGTGGAGTAGGCATTATGGATGAGTTGGTCGGGGTAAACTTTTTCTTTGAATTTGTTGGTAAGAAGTAGACTCTGTATGGTAAAGTCACTGGTCTTGGAACATTTGCGTTTTAGTCTACAGAACTGGCTCTTGGGGATGTTTTTTAACCATCTTGGATGGTAACAGCTGTGAAAGTGTACATAAGAGTGTCCACTGGTCGATTTTACGTGATTGCTGGTAGTGATGGTATTGCCATCGGAGGAAAGTTCTAAATCTAGGAACACTAATTTATCTGGGTTGAACACATGTGTGAATGACAGACCCAGTGTGTTACTATTGCAGTGGGAGAGAAATAGTAGTATGGAATCACAGGGGCCGTCCCAAATGATGATGATGTCTTCAATTTATCGTCCGTAAAAAATTATGTTGGGAGCAATGTCATCAATGTATCGTCCGTAATGTCATCAATGTATCGTCCGTAAAAAATTATGATGTTCACTGGTAGAAGGCTTCCTTCTAGGTCTGGAACATACAGTACATTTTTCACGAGGATACTCTGCTTGTCCCCTGACAGTGTAATGCAGTTCAAGAATCCTTGACCGTTACCTTCTGCAGTAATACTTTTCCCGTTTGCTAGAAAATCTTTGTCCTTTGCACTAAAATCAATTCCTGTGAAGAAGGTTTCATCACTTGTCATGTGAGTTGTTGTGCCTGAGTCAATACACCATTCACGTGGTATACTGTTCTGAGTCACTTTAAAGATAACAATCCATGATGTGCCTGCAGTTTCCTTTGTAGCTGACTTAGCTCTTTCTCTTGTGGGTGCCTCTCGCTTTCTCTGCTCGGCCTTCCAGATTGAACAGTCCTTTTCTAGGTGACCAGTCTTTTTACAGCGAAAACATGCTCTGCTTTCTGTGTTTAGCTTTGCGCTCTCATCCACCTTAAGGGCTTTCTCATTTTCTTCATTGTGCATATTTTCTTTCCTTTGGTGTATTCAAGCATTAGTTCCTGCTCAGATTTGGTTTCTAGAGCAATAAAAAGAGCACTGTATGACACTGGAAGGCTGCATAGCAGTAATGCCACCATGTGGTTATCCTCAGTTTCCTCTCCAATTGCACGTAGCTGTTCTATGTTTTCCAGCATGACATTCACAGGTTCATGCATTTCCTGGCCTGTTTCTTGCCTCATCTTATATAGCTTGCGTAGCAGATATAGTTTACTGTTTAGGTTTGAACGCTCATGCAGTTTCTGAAATGCCTTCCACATACCTGTATTTTCTTTTCTGATGTGGATAAGCTGGTCATCTTCCACTAGCAGACTTATAATTGCTTTTGCTTGCCTGCTCTTCTTGTCCCATTCCTCTGTGGGTCCATTACTGGGTCTGTCTATACTCAGTACTTTCCACAAGTTGTCTTTGCTTAGCAGCATTTCAAGCTTGAACTTCCATAGCTGGTAGTTGCTATTATTGAGCTTTGTGATTGCAACGTTCATATCGGAACTGCCCACCATCTTTCAGCAGATTGGATGCGGCTCTTGTTGACCTGCAGAATTCTGTTTAGTGCCTGGGCCCAAACACCAATTGGTTATGTGTTTAGATGAAGCATTGAGATCTTGAGGAATGCTTAATTAAGTTTTACTTGCTTAGCAGAACATTACATGTATGTTCTGTATACAGGAATTTCTAGAGGTGTGTTTGTTGTTATTTTAAAGATATGGGTAAAGGTCCACTTTAAAATAATGTTAGGTATGGTCCTTTGATCAGCTGCTTCAGCACTCTTCTCCTGTAGTAGCCACCTTATTATGTGTTATGTATGTTGGTTATGTGTTTAGATGAAGCACTGAGATCTTGAGGAATGCTTAATTAAGTTTTACTTGCTTAGCAGGCATTACATGTATATATACAGGAATACAGCATAGTAAATAGGAAAACATATATACATATAGAACTTCCTGTGTACCACAGACAAGCATACATAAGTATAGAGACCAACACTACACCACAGTGCCATCTAGTGCACAAAAGACATAACAGTACATTAGCATAAGCTGTTGTATTTCCAACAATGTACTTCTTCTGTACTTGGCTATCCATGGATTATTTTGCACTAGATTATTGAGTTTAAAGAAAGTGATGGATCCCAAAGGGTACAAAGCAGGGATTGTAACCATAGGGAATAGAGTGTTTTTATTTTTTTTAAAGTAGTAAATAGTTTTGCTGGTCATACAGTTTAAAATTAATTAGCAATAAATCATTTAATTGACACAATCAATTTATTTTGACCAAGTTTTCAATAAAACGGAAGATGTTTGCTGTTTATAGGTTTAAATAGATTATAAACCAATTACATTGATGCCGATATTGAATTCTATGATTGATTGTTTACAAATCCTTACATATACAGCTAGTGTTAGACAAGTTTTTGCTAGAATTGAGTTCACTGTAATATAAAAGTAGAACATTAACTGTAATATAAAACTTAACCACAGGATGTCAGTGTTGTACAAGAACAAATATTACTGGCTGTTGGAACACATTGCTGCTAGCTGCAAGCAACCTACCTACCATAGATGCCAAAAATGTATTATTTTTCCCTGATCTAAATTTGCTGCATGTTATTTTCAGGTTAGGGACACAAAAGTATTTAAGCTAGACATTTTTAAGATACCTAAAATAGATCTAAACCTAACCATTAAAATATAATCTTTAATAAATAATTTCAAAAGAATGTAAAACTGTTTCAAATCTACATCTTTCAATAAAATAATACCTTGTGATACTGCTATGAAGGTTTTTGTTCAGGCACTTCCTGTTTTCTGGTGACAACACTTATTATCTGTTTTACAATTACTTTCCTGCATTGTCCCCCTATCACATGTGCTTCCAGTTTAGACTATAAGGGACAATGCCAATGTTCACTGCAAAGGTATGTTCTGCTACTGTCACCATCAGGAAGCTTTCCCTAAGCAATTACATGCAGCCACCACTGGAACAGATGCATATAGACAGGAAGTGCCTTTCAATGAGGTGGGAGGAGAAGAGAAACACCCTGAGACGCAAACAAAATTATGCAGAGAAGATGAAAACAATAAAAGGCAATTGTTTATGATACACAGTGCTTCAGCAAAACAAATGTCAAGTAAGGGTTTACATCTACTTTAGGTGTCAACAACTTATTTAAGTTCTATTTAGTGGGACTACTTACCCTATATTACTATTAAGCAAAATGTACAATTTTCACTTTGCTAAAATTTCAGTGAAATTCGGCTCATTTTACAGAGAGTTTTACCATTTTGACAAAATGCATTGGAAGGTGAAGGTTGTTTTTAAGGAGTCTATTTATAAACAATTCACAGAGCCATTCACCCTACAAATCTCTGTGAACATTTGTTCTGTGCGAATAGAGGCAAAAACAAAAGGTCTTAGCAGATGGCCACTAGATGGAGCTGAGGAGCATAAGCAATATGTTTTTATTGCAGTATTACATTACATTCGACCTGAAAAGAAAATATTCTAAGAACATTCATTTTTGCCTCTTTTTGCGCAGAATGAACGGTCACAGAGATTTGCAGAATTCTGCAGATTGTTTATAAATACACCACCTAGTGTGCAATCTGTTTTAAACGGCTCCTGATAAAAAAAAAATTGTGTTTGTGTGTGCATGCATGTTTTCTAATTTATGCTTGAAGTTTCTTTTTTTACATGTTTTTTCACTGGAATAAAAACGCTAAAACGGAAAAATATAAGATTTAAAAAGAGAGAGCTTGGTATTTCTGTTGCTTTGTATTTTTCTTTTCTTTTCTTTTTTCACTTTTATATTTTTGTATAAAGATCAATTTTCAAGGAAAAAAGAGCACATTGCGGAGCAACATGTGAAGGTTTTCTTAGGGGTATATTTTGTTTTCCAAAACATTTTCGCCTACGCAGGCTAGTTTCACCTTTAGTATGGCAATGATGAAGATTGGAATTCCAGAGGAAAATTGCACACAATTCACTCCATTTATCCTTGGACTTCTAGTTTCTGACAACAAATTGGTGATTGACAATTTGAAGGGCCTTTTTTGGTATTTATTATTTTCAGGGTAAGGTATAACAACACTATTGCCCATGCAGGGTAGTGGATCAGTATACATGACAATAAAAGAGCAGGGTGTGTTTAGTTGGAGAATTCAAGCATGCGCCATTCAGGACCTACTTGGGCTGTCATAAACTGGTGCAGGGGCCTTTTATCAACCTTCAAAGCCTTTTTACTTGTCAGACAGATGACTGTCTTTTCTCTAAAGTTGGCCATACACTATGCCAATTTCTGGCCGGTACTTCATGAGAATCAGCTGATCGAAGGAGTGGGTCAGAAAATCTTTGAATGAACTAAGCCAGCACCCAATCAGCTGCCTGCTCTGACAGTGCCATCAGAATACAACAACGAACACAGCAGAAGATTCCTCGATCAGCTTTGATGGAGGAATTTGTTATATTTTCTTTGTTCAGTCCACAGATTGAACGAAGAAAATATTACACTGTATGGCCAGCTTTAGTCTTGTCACAGGAATTATTTTATTGAGGATAATGTCACTCACACGGTGGTTGAACACTGGCTTTAGGGACTCTTAGGAAGTTTTAAATTGTTGATGCTTGAGTTACATGACTGGGCTTTCTTTTATTGTTTAATCTATTTGAGTGGTTTTATGGGATTGTTTATTTAATGATGTATCTATTTAGTCCCAATGAAGGCCATTGCAATGGCAATTCACAGTGTATATCTATCAAAGTTTAAGCATTGCTTAACATTGCCAGTGTTCCTGTTATGATTTGGGGAGGAAGGGGTGAGCCTATGTGGCTCAATCTTTTATTCCTTTTTTCCATAATGTTTTCTAAGGCAAAAAAGCTGCATTAGAGTTTTCTTAAATGCAGGGTGGCAGAATGGATACAGAAAAGGATTAATTGATGAATTGAAGAAGAATAGCCAGCAGGTGACATCAAACACAACTGGGGACACACAAACATCACAAAAGAACTCTGAGATAATAGTAAGGAAAGCATATGGTGCCCAACAGATGCAAAATGTACAAACAAGCAGAGCTAATAATTTTGCTATTTTCTTGTCCTTGGACAATGCTGAGTTTCTGGCAGAATCCAGCGCCACAGCTCTATTTGATATTTCACTATTTTTCTCAGCTAGCGGAGTATGATTGTCTTCACAAATTGCTACAAAATATCTGAAGAAGCTGCACTTATTTCTAGAAGGTTCCTGATTAGGTTTTTTTAAAGCTGCCGGACTATTTGAATTGTCTTTTTTACAATCTATGACAAATATATCATCACTTCTTCCATCTCCTGATAAAAGAGTTGAATTATTCTCAGGATATGGGACTTTAATCTTCATTCTACTCCTGATATTAAAGTATATACTGAGGTTAAAGAATGCTATTGCTGTCATTGGTGTGAAAAAGTCAAAAATGGAGGAGTAGAGTGAGTAGCGACTTGTATAATTAAATTCTGGGTTACATTCTCCATCTGGTACTACGCTGTAGCCCACCACATATTCCCAGATTATTATCGCTGGGCCAAAATTAAGGAAGGCTATAATCCAAACAGAAAGCATCTTCACAAAGGCCAGTTTCATTATTTTTTGCTGATCCCGATATTTCACCTGTAAAGATATAGTCATAAAAGGGTGTTAATTACATCCACACATACACCTGCAAAGTTTTAAGAAGCTAATTAGAACCAGATTTCTGCATAGTTTACATAAGCTGTAGCCTGGGAAAGTAGAGTTTCCAGGGTAGGAACACAGCCATCCACACATCATGCATCTGACTATCACTAAGACCTCAGTCACGGATGCATCCGAGCATGGACACCCAGACCCGCACAGATGGGCAGTTTGGGTGTGCTTATGACTGCGTATGGCGGTGTCCTACCATAGGTAAGAACAGGCTGCTACACGCAGCACCTGTCCCTCCCGAAACGAGCATGCACGTTGCATGGACATGTATGTATGTGAATGAGGCCTAACACATTCATGTATACACGTACATGGTTACAAAGTACTACGCTGCTTACCAGTACAATCCATTTGGGTCCTCATTTTATTTTCCCCTGCACAGTTTCTGCATTTAGGTGCACTGAAGCAAAGTAGGCAACCTATGTTTTAGCCTCTCCACCTCCAGGCTCAGTTTTATGTGACTATGAATGAACTTGTTAGTTAGGTACTAACCAAAATTACTTAGACTTACCAAATCACTGGCATAGTACAGGTGATACAAGTCAACTGGCCTAAGAACAGGGGATATAACTTTAGCTCTGTATTTAATACTAAAGTGGCATGGTGGGGAGACATATTTTTCTACACATGGATGTCTTCCTGTCCATCTATCATGTGATGTCACTTTAAAAGAAACCTGTCACCTCCCAGTTCTCCTCTTATTTAATTTGCTGTGCCTGATTTTATCACATATGCAATATATTGTGGCAAAGCAGCATCTGTTTTAGTATGAACTGGATCCATGGTAAATATATGGATCTCTCCACGGAAAATCAGCTAGGCCGGCACGAGGAGTCAGCTCCACTCTTGTGTTTCTTCCCAAAATAATTCACTGTTGGAAGTATCCATAGTAATGGGGACTGTCATATAGTTGCGGCTCTTCCACTGCTCCAACCAAAGCTATCAGCCCCTTAGAGATTCAAACTTCCATATTATGGAAATACACAGCATTTACCTCCCTCTGAACCGCCATGGTACAAGAGGATCGACAGACCCATGGATTTCAGTTGACAAGTACACAAAGGGGTTTCCAGAAAATTTTAAAAGAACCAGCTGCAAACCAATTTGCCTTTTTATATAATGTATATATATGACACAATACAAAAATAATTTTGTTCCTACAGTCAAAGGTGTAAACTGCAATTTCCATTCAATACAATGGAGAGTTCATACTCCACCAGAGAATGGACTATGAACTCTCCATAGGACTGATTGGAGAGTACACAGTGATGCACAGACTGAAGCTCAGAAGATCTGACAAGCAGCTCTGCAGCTTTATACTGACAGGAAAAGCTTAAATGTATCTGTACCACCACTTTAACAATAAACAGCTTGACGTACTTTTTTCAGCAACATGCCTCATTAATGCTTTTGACGTGCTTTAATGTATTTTTTGAAAAAAATGTATAAAATGTGTTTTAATTCAACTTACAGCTCTGGTGACAGCCAGAAAACGGTCACAGCTGATGAGAACAATGTTATAAACTGTACATTGGCACAAGGTATAATCAACTGTAAGCCAAAGCTTGCAAATATGTTTTCCAAGTACCCATTCTTTGTTGATAATGTAATTCTGCAGGTACAGTGGGAGAGAGAAGGTACCTTAGAAACAAAAATATAGTCCCACCGTTAAATTATGTGCAATACTTTCTGTTAAACAGGATATATTCAATTGGTAAACAATTCAAAATATTTGCCTACAGCACATGAGAGCTATAAGAGATTATAGTATTAGATTATAAGCAGGAATGCAAGGGGGGAAATGTTACGTAAATGTATTTTTTTTCTTACTTGCTACTCAAGGATGACCTATAGCCACATACTGTATACTGACAGCTACATACACACC